TATTATTGACATATTTTGACCCTATATTCAGTGTTATTGAGTGGAGTTTTCACGAACCAGAAGAGGGTGTCTTTGACTTTACCGGCGATAGAGATCTCATTAAATTTATTCAAACCGCCAATGATTTGGGACTTTTGGTTATCCTAAGAACCGGGCCTTTTATTAACGCCGAAAGAGATTTCGTTAGTATTAAGTGATTATTAAATTATTTAATGAAAATGTTTTATACATTATATGACATTAGGGTGGACTCCCATACTGGCTATTGTCTAATAATCCGGACATGAAATTTAGGACATCTGATCCGTCGTACGTGAAAGCCGTCGAGAAATGGTTTTCCCTATTACTGCCAATGTTGGCGCCCATGCTGTATAAAAACGGCGGACCAGTTATCATGGTCCAGGTCGAGAACGAGTACGGATTGTACTATGCCTGCGACTATGCCTACACTTCCCATTTACGGGACCTACACATTCACTACTTGGGCACAGATGTCCAGTTGTTTACTAACGATCCCTACGGCGACTCGTACTTAAAATGCGGACAAATTGCTAACGTGTTGGCGACCGTCGACTTTGGTCCCACCGACGATCCCGTCCAGGCGTTTAAAGTCCTGAGGGATCACCAGAAGTTTGGGCCGTTGGTTAACTCCGAGTACTACACGGGTTGGATAGACCACTGGGAGCGACCCCATTCCACAGCCACTTCCCCGCAAGTGTGCCATACGTTGGACGCTATACTGGCGCTGAACGCGTCCGTCAATATGTTTGTAAAAATTTTTTTGGGGTTTAGTCGCCAGAAATCAATTCAATATCTGAGAGGTCAATGCCAATAGTGTATCAGACAAAAGCTTTAATCTTAATCTTTCAATATTACTCTTATGGAAGATTAAGATTAAAGCTTTTTTCTGATACACTATTGGGATTGACCTCTCAGATATAATGTTTTCGTAATAGATATCCACTTCACGGCGGGACTAACTTTGGGTTTGGTTCCGGTGCCGATCCCGATGACGGTGTATACGATCCCTGTATTACGAGCTATGACTTCAATGCCCCCCTCACTGAGGATGGAGACCCCACTCAGAAGTACTTTGATGTCCGCAATGTTATTGGAAAAGTAAATATATGTTTTAGTTTTGTATTAAAATTTCTATCTTGATAATTTAATTTATCTCGTTAATCAACAGTACCAAACACTTCCTAACATTACACTCCCGGTGCCGTCGCCTAAAATGGAGACCAAACCCATAGTTATGAAACCAATTCTTAGTATATATGACATCATCTCATCCCTAACTCCCGTGGAATCGGTATATCCGTTGAGTTTTGAAAAGTTGAGACTAAAGGATGGATTCATACTCTACTCGACAAACATTACATTCAAACCGTCAGATCCGGCAGTTTTGGCAATAAGTGAACTCAAAGATAGGGCACAAGTGTTCGTCAATCAGGTATAACTACTTTAAGTGATATAACATATAAAATGGTTTGCATTTAATCGCTTATAAATTGTGCGACAGAAATATGTGGGCACTTTAAGCCGGACACATAACATACACGCTATAAATGTGGACATCGCGTTGGGATCGCAACTGGATTTATTTGTCGAGAATCAGGGTAGATTTTCTTTCGGCGACACTATCAATGAATTGAAAGTATGAATTGTGATTACATTTGATCGTCTCCGTGCATAAAAGGTTAAAGTTTTTCAAATTGTTTATAGTGCTCATGATAGTTTTATCAGTATTTTTCAAAATAAATTAAAATTTACTAGTAATATTAATTAACTTTTGAATGGCTTTTAAACATTATCATAAACAATATTTAATTTAAATTTATTACAATAATTATTATTATATTATATTGATACAATATTTTTTATGAACACAGTGAAACTAAGACCCTGATCACCCAAATCGAGAGCTACAAAAATAAATGCCTAAAGGACCTACCTAAACAGGTAACCGGGGTAATTGTATACTCGGTGAAAAACGCTGTGAGCCAACTGTGCAAACGCGACTCCAAACGGCTATCCGAGTTGATAGGGGCCGCCCCCTGTATGAACCGGGGGTCCAATGAGATCAACAAGTGTTACACAAAATATATTGACGGCGTTTTGGGGGCCAAAAACGCGGTCGACAAACGGAAAATACCCCACAATTGTTGGTAAGTTTACTCTGGATTATAACAAACACTATAATATTTAACGAGGTTTGTCATGAAATAATAAGCATGTTAATTAAGATAAAATATTCTAATATAGTTAGAATTTAATTTTTTGTTGCCTTAAATGTTGTATGTTTAATAATTTATTAAATGAGACAAAACAGTAACAAAAAATAAATATTAAAAATAAATATTACGTTTGTAATATATAATTTAAATAATGGAGGTACTTCTAGGTACTAAAAATTTATTTTTAAATATTTTAATGTTCCGTTATTTTAATATATTTAGTTTTATATTAACGATATTATAAATAAATACTAAAATGATCAANTATTACGTTTGTAATATATAATTTAAATAATGGAGGTACTTCTAGGTACTAAAAATTTATTTTTAAATATTTTAATGTTCCGTTATTTTAATATATTTAGTTTTATATTAACGATATTATAAATAAATACTAAAATGATCAATAATTTAATAAAATGCTAATACTAGTGTACTATATGATAATACAGTATATAAAAAAATTAGTTCAAACATAAAAACTGTAATAATACACACCAAGTTTAACTATAATATTCAGTGATTGACATAATTTTTAAATTGGGCAATTTCGAGCAACTTTCCTAAAATAAAACACATAAATATGTTTTTTATAATACCAAGCTCATTTTTGCAGTGAATATTTTCGCATATTTTCGTGTTCGGAGACTCGTATGCGAACCGTTAAGGGCTGTACTGAGCAACAGATTGACATTACCCTGGATTGGATCAGGTCACTTTTTGGCAATGTTATCGATTTGATATGCAGCGATTATACGGAGGGCTCCGATAAATGTTCCAGTTTAGGTAGAAATTTAAAATTTAATTTTGTATTTTAAAAAGTTAATTTAATTCTAATTCCCAGAACCGGTACCTAAAAAGCGAAAAAACCAACGGCGCCCAAAGTCGTTCATGCTACCATTGGTGGACTTACTGGCTAGTTTTAAAGAGCTATAACCTGGGTCATAGGTTTACTAACTACACAACCTTGTACCAGTATATTAATTAATTAATGAAGTAATTAATTTAAAAATAACACAGTACAAACTAAATATGAGACATGTGCTAATATTTTTTAATTTAAAAAATAAATAATAATATTATGTTCGAGATAGGTTTCAGCCATATTAGTTATATTGGTACTTATTATGGTTAATCACAATTTGTATTTAATAAGTAAAATTTTGGTTTGATGTCAAATAAATAAAATATAAATTTTAAGTAAAATTATTTAATTAATTTTTTATAAATATTTATAAATTAAAAAACTTTATATTAATTCAAAAATAAGTATTACTTTAATTAAATAGTAAATGTCACAATAAGTGACAAAGTAATTAATTTAAACATTTGTTAATATATAGATAAAATTATAGATCAGAAAAATAAATAATTAAAATATTTTCATTGAAAACTGTTCATTAATCATTAAATCACATATAATTCAGATATGCATACAAACATTGTTTATTTCCTTTAAAACTAATTAATACAACATTAAAGGTATTATTATTTTTATTAGAATAATTAAACTTTAAAACTAAATTTAAATAATTTAATTTAAATAATTTTAAAACTAGCTATTGTTATATTAGTAAATAAATATCCGGACACACTCAAAAGGCCTACGAACTAAAAGGCCTGCTATTAAAAAATTTGAAATTAACTATTAATTAAAGTGATATATTGGTCAGATAATGGTTCATAAAATTAATCAAAAACTACTTTTGAATAATTTTACGTAATCTATTTAATTATCAAACTTGCTTTATACACTTTTCCAAAATTTCACTAAAACTACCCAATAAATGCTTATTTTGTATAAATTGCGTCAAATATTTTAGCTTAATTTATGTAATACTATTGTGTTAAGATATATACTAACTTTAGTCCACATTAATACAGTGAATTAAAAGATATTTAGATTTTTTGTCAGAGTAGGCCTTTTAGGCCGTAGGTCTTTGGAGTAGAAACTAAATATCTCATCGATTCTCTGTATTTAACAAATTATTAACAAAAATAATGTATTTTTGATTATATCTACTGAATATATATATATATTTAGAAAATGTTTTCATATATGATATTCTATTTATTAAGTAAATATAGTTTCCCCCTATCGTCGGGCCATTGATTTTTACCATAAGTTACAAAAATTGTATTTAAATTTGAAACTATTATATAAAACTACAATAAAATCGAAATGATACATAAAATAGTACTTCATTTTCAAACTACATTTTTAAATAAATAGTAACCATTTAATCTGTAAATAGTAAGCAATTCTTAATCAAGATAAATTAAGATAATAGACATAAACTTATTTTTAAACAGAAAAGTTTATAAAACATTTTTATTAAAATTATTGGTGAGGGTTGGGAATCGTTGTTGCGTTCAAAACACTTTGTGTTACGAATTGAACGGTTTTACTGTTTGAAGGACTTTCCAATTCAAAGACTATTAATTTGTTTGGTTTGGGGTATGCGTTGAACAGGTGTTTCGGTGAGTATAGTGTGATTTGTGGGCCGACAGTCCAATATCGACCCAAATTGAAGCCATTGAGAAATGCCAACCCTTTATGCCATCCGTCCAGACGTAGGAATGTGTCGAAAGGGTATCCCTTAGTGTCGGGTAATACAAAGTCTGACGTATAGAATGAGGGAATCCTATCAAAGGAACTCCCATTCGCTGGAGTGGGA